TATCTTGCAATAATAACTTATCTTAAAAGGCTGTTATGAAACATCAACCTATTAAATCCATGGCAACTTCAGCCATTGTTTGGGGGAAAAAATCCAGAATGAGCAGTAAATAATCAAGCCATCAAAAATATGAACAGAATGTGGCTGGTACAACCTGTGGGATGGCTGGTACTTTTAGTTTTACATGAAAACAATCCCCAGGGAAAGGCAAAGCTGGTTACAGAGGACAAAGGTTAGGCTTTGTTCCTTACTGTTTGATTTTTGGTATGCTATCATTGCAAGCAGCAAGGGGAAAGATTTGCTAAGGTATTTAGGTACCTAAACATGCCTAGCAGCATTTATAGCAGCATCTAAGTAGGTTAGGTGCCTAATTCCCATTAACTCCATCAGCATGTTTAAGCTGCTAAACATCTTTGCAAAGCTGGTACAGGTGACTGTGCGAGCTGCTGGGCTGTGCTTGGTTGCCACAGATGAAGCTCAAGCTGATGCTCCTTGGATCAAGGGTTACGGATGGTACCTGAGCACAGAAGCGAACAGCAGCCCCTGGGCCTTTCCCACTGGGCACAGCCTGGCCTGTTCCACACCCACAAACGTTTGTCTTAAAGGATTTTCCCTGCCTTAGCTCAGTGTCGATAAACGCCCTCCTGCGTGTCAGAAACAGACTTAAAGAGATGAACCAACCCTTCTGTTTCAGGTTCATAAAGCAGCCAGTCACGAGAAGTGTTTAAATAGATGGTAAAGGTTACGTGGGATAGATGAACCCCAGTGAAACACTTCCCTTGATTGAGCCTGTCTCTGGCTTTTGAGGTTTATCTTCCACGGCCAAACACACATGGAACTGTGCTCTCCGGCAGTGGGTGCTCGAGGTAATTCCAGTGCCACTTCCTCTGAGGAGCAGAGGAGGCCACCCAACAGGGAAGAGTGCACAAAGCAAATACTTTCTCAACTAAACCAGCTAAAATGATGAGTTATGGGAATTGCCCCTATTTTATTGTATTTCTCATTTTAGTGTGATTTCTTAATCCTTAATTTACAGTAGAGGCTAAAGCTTCCAACTTATTCCTAGCTAGAATGCCATTAGCTTTTGTTCTATGAACTACTACCATAGGGAGTGTAAATAAAGTAGGTGAGGCCCCACGGAGACCTGCACAGGAACTGTAACAAGGCAGGTTTGATTTTTATCTTCCTTTAGAAGTTGGGTTTTGGTAATTCTGACAGATTTTGTAAGAGCAGGAAAAGTGGGATTTGTTCTCTCTCTCCCTGGCCAACCGCTGGGAGTTCTGTCCCATGGCATGCCTACAACAGCTCTACAAAGTAAGCACAATGGAAAGAAGTGATTTGTACTGTAATTACATCAGAATAAAGTACCTTCTACCACCAAAATCTGTACACAAGAGACTTCTGCCACCAATGCTTTTGAGAACAAAGAGGAACTGCAGTCTGCATCAGTTATGGTTTTAAAGGGGATGGTATTAAACAGGGATTTCAAGGCAGAGGCTGAGGGGGATCATCCTTTGAGAGTAACACTAGTTGAGAATGACAGTGAAATTCTCTGTACAGAGCCTGGCACTGTCACAAACCCATGTGAGCCCCCAAGGCATCAGGGCAGGTTTAGTGCTCTAAGGTTGCATTCAAGGTGGTCCTTGTTATGCATTAAATGTGCAAATGGCAACTGTTGGTGTGTCATCCCTCCACCCTGACTGATCATAAAAATCTACAGTGATTTTTGTCTTTATGTAGCTTAGAGTAGTGTCTTTTCTGTAGACTTCACTGTAGAAAAGCACAGTGCAGGCACTGCAGGGCACTGTGGCTGTGCACTGGCCAGCACATACGCACCTGGCTACTCTGTGAGTATTTAAGCAATGGTTATGGAATGGCCACTCATGTATGTGTGCTTGTATTTATCTGATACATATTGATTTATCTGATACATTCTTTCCTGTTAGGGTGGTGAGGCACTGGAATGGGTTGCCCAGGGAGGCTGTGAACACTCCATCCCTGGCAGTGTTCAAGGCCAGGCTGGACGAAGCCTTGGGTGACATGGTTTCATGTGAGGTGTCCCTGCCCATGGCAGGGGGTTGGAACTTGATGATCTTAAGGTCCTTTCCAACCCTAACTATTCTATGATTCTATGATGGTGTTGACCAAAGGAACATCTAATTTACTGAGGCACTGAGTAGTGTTACAAGGAAGTTATTTAGCACCTGTGAAGCCGCGTATCTAATACGCCTGTGTAGGTATTATTTGTGTGAAGCTATTTGCCTGATGGGAGAATGTGCCATTTAAAATTTACTGGCTCTTTGCAGTATTCAAAGGGCAGTGGGGTGCAAGTATTCAGGTAAAGATTAACACCAGCGTGTAGCACAACAGTATTTATCACAATGTCACCTTTAAATAGAAAATAAATAGAGGTGCAAGAACAATTTATGGCCCTGGGGCCATTATTAGCTGTAGTCTCATTATTTTAAAGGATATAACGTGCACTTTCATTTCTTTTCCACTTATTTTTTTTATTCCTCTGGAATAAAAACAGAGTCATTGTTTATAGGTTGTATATTTTGACAACTGCTCCTTGCAAATCCTAAGTTATCCTAGAACCATTGTCTCAGTATACACAGTTCATCTGAATCAAAATTAATTCCACAAACTGTTTCACAGAAAGGAAGAGACAAGGGGAGCTAAGAGAGAAATAACCTAGGAAACAAGTATGCCGGCGTACAAAAATAGACTGGAACATTTGGAGATTGTAGGTATGAAAATGTAGTCTCAATAACGGAGAATCTGAATTAGTGGATTATCTGAAGAGGTAATTGCGCACTGGAGGAGAAGCCGGAGAGAAGCCGAGATCTGTTTCTAACGTCTTTAATTTCTAGGCAAATTTATGAGGCAGAGGGAGGAATCGTCTCCAGGTTTCTCTCTGTGGGTGGAGGCAGCAAGCAGAGCAGGCAGCGCGCCAGCGCCGTGTCTCGGTTTCTCCCCCTCTCGTGCACAGCAGGCTGAGCACTGCGCGCTCCGAGCCAGAGATCGTCACCAGCTCCCTGCGAAGGGCAAGGCAATGGGCACAGCTGTCCTCCTCCAGCTCACCCTGCACAAGGAGTGCTTTAAATATCTCTCTGAAAGTCTCCGCTCATGCAGCCTGCCTGATCCATAACCTCTGTCTCCAAATAGCTCCTGCTGTTTGAAGCACCCAGCTGGCTGTCACAAAGCCACTAGTGGATAAGTCAAGGCTGTGAGGGTCAAGTGGAGATTAAAGCCTCTCAAACAGAACTGTAAAACTGGAATCTATATGCAGTCTGGGTATCACGGACATATGAACTCAGGGTGCCTGTCATAAAGCATCCAAACTACTACAGCTACAGCAAATATCACAAGGAGTTCCAAACCTTAAATATCCTCTATGGGTGATGAGTCCGTGCCATTTTCAGAAGAGGGCTTTAAATAAAAATGCTTCCAGAGCGTCCAACCCTGAAACTGGAGCATGTGCTCTGTCCCTTCAGATTGTGTTCTGTGAAGCACATAGGAGCCACTGGAGCAAAATATGGCTAAAGCATTTATGTGTTATTGCTATGAGGAGTTTTCTTAGAAATACAGGTTACTCTAGGTCTGCTGAGCAAGCTCTTCTTCCTAATCCACACCACCTGTGTAGATTCATGGATAATTTGGTTCTGACCTAGTTAAAAGTACAAAACAGATTTTTTTCTGGTTGCTTATTCCATGTATCCTGACATCCACGTCCAGCAAAGCCTGCAAAAAACTCTTTCATGAGCTGCACTTTGTTCCTCTGGGAAGAACATTTGGGGATGTGCTCTACAGCTCCCAGGCCAGATCACTGCACTGCCATTCAAAGAAGAGACTTGACTTGGATTTAAAAAAAGAAGGTTTATTCGTTTTGATTCAAAAGGATCAACAGCTACAGTGTGCCTGACTTGGCACAGCTCGGTAATGGTAAGGACAGAGAGCAGGACATAGGCACCAGAACTGCAAATTAGTCAGGGCTTTCTATCCATTCCTCAGAGAAAAAGGACTTAAATCCAGTGCTACACCTGCTGAAGACAGACCTCAAAAACTGTGATTGCACAGCCCCATCCCTTTGTATCGGCCAGCAGAGGTGACCTGGAGTGCAGGAGCAAGCCTGAACCTTTCCAGTGGGGTTCTCAAGTCCTTAAGAGAGTGGCAGATTGCAGCCTGTCCTCCCTCACACGGATACAATCGCATTACCCATCTCAGGCTGAAGATCAGAGATAGAGTTCTCCTTTGATGTACTCATCAGTATGATGAGAAACTTCTGCAAAGTTTCAGATCTGTCTTTCGTTCATTAATCAACACCTACCATATGTATTATATACATACACACATATGTAAAGAGCCTCCAGAGAAACACAGCATAAACTCATATATTTCAGAGAGCTGACATCATACATTGTGCTGTGAATAATGAGATTTAAAATACCCTGTGCTATCAAGGTACAGTGAAACCTGCTCATTAGCTTGCACCAGCACCTCCTGGCATATTCTTTATCCTCTTTAACACATCACCAATGAGTACAAAATGATTTTGTTCTACTTAAAGACCAACTTTGAGGAGGTGACTGATTTCTGCTGATCCTGGAGGTGGTTTCACAGGTTTCATTGTACTTGAAACTTCACAGCTTCCACTGAAGTATTTGATGCATGTATGTACCGGTTTAGCAGAGTACAAAAGTAGAATAATTCTCATTCTTGCCTCACATTGTTGACAGAGTATGATGTCCTTTACCAAACTGTTCCTTTTTCTTGACAACTTATCAAAGACTCATTTTTCTAAAGCCCAACCACCAATCTTCAGAAGTATTTGTCTTAAAAGTCATCAGGGCTCCAATACTTGTAATAAATTGATGAATTTCTATTAGCAAAGCTTATTCACAAGTGTCTTCCATAAAAATAAAGATTTTCAGTAGTTAAAGAAAAGGTTCATTACATTCACTAGCATTGGTTAACAAAACCCCACCACACGTCACCTTGCAGCTTTCAAGTCAACCATGCTGGAATCCAGCACGTGAAATTACAACCAGTGGTCCCATCTTAACTCTCATGCTGGTCAAAGCTGTGAAAATTACACTTCAGGTCAGGGGAGTTAAGCCAACAGAGATGTCTTGAAAAGCCTGGATTGGGCTGTAAGATAAGACTGGTCCCTAGACACTGAACAGTAACAGATTAAGGACTGAAGGGAGACTTCTGCAGTGCCTGCATCTTCTGTAGCACCCATCAATAAACCCAGCTAAAAAATGGCAGAACTTCCTCTGACTTAAAAGGGAGAAACATCATCAAGTACTATTAACATTAGGCTAGAAAGTATGCAGAAAGTGTGCATCTTCTCACTAGTGTACTGGAACTACACGAACTACAACAATGTCAACAGATGTCCTCAGCTCTTGGACCTGGGAAGCTCTCTTATTCCTTCATCGTCATCCTCAGAGCAAAGCAAGCTTAGGGCGCTTGTTACGGGATGGATCCATGATGTTGTCTGTGTCACGTGGCTAAAAAGAAACAAGAAATGCTATTAGCAACCCAAAAGAGGTTTACAAGTTCAAAGCAAGAAATACAAGATGGAGCCTGGAGTTGTCATGGTGATTACAACACTTTCAAATACAGAATCCTCTTTTTCTTGTTAACTATGAGATTTCTACAAACAAGACATGGAGCCTTCTGGGTGCTAGAAATTGGACCAAAGTAGCATTAGAGACAATGCTTTTGTAGGAGACTCCCGATACAGCCTGGTGATACTTCCTGATAATGGAGCTGTAGACAATTAACCCAGCAACACTGTACAGCCCAGAGTAGCAAAGACTTAAAAAACTCCAGGTATTGACACAGGTATTAACATTGCCATCATACCTGACAAAGCCTGAGGCACAGCGGTCAAGAGGAAGTTGACCAAATGTGGAATCACATCATAGAAATATACTCAATTTGTTAGAACATGAACTAATACTGTAGCATCATTAAGTCCTTCCTCTTCTTGCAGAAACAGGCTGATGAATAAATGAACAATATTCTTCACATGTCCTCTAGACCAGACTCTGGACGTGCTTCCGCAGTCTTTACACGTGTAAGAAAAGGGAGTCAGTGGTACTTCTGAAGACTTAAAGCCTACATTTGACATGCAGTTTAAGCTGCTTTATAGTTTTTGGTAAACTTCTGTATGAATGGCAAGAAGCTGACCAAGGCTCAGTAAGGACAGATAAATGGAATATGCTTACTGTTTGTGGGTGAGAACATTGCACACCTTATGGTTGGTAGTATGCACACTAGCCATACTGTGTGTGGGCAAGACACAGCCTCTTCTCCCTTCTGGAATAATGTGTTCTTGATAAAGGAAATAGCTTATTTTCACTTAAAAAAAAATCTTGCTAATAAATTCACAGTTTTCATAGTCAAGTCAGTGCAAAGATGAATTTTGTAATATAAGTTCATTACAAGAACTAGCAGAAAAATATTGTACATGTAATATACACCATAAAATGCAAAGAGCTCTTCTCACAACTTCTGACATAGAGCGCACCTAAAGCCCATGCCTATACTCACCTTTGAGGTGCACTGGTTTAATTAAACATGAAGTGCCATGATGGAACTACTCTAGATTTACCTTTTTAAGTGAAAACAGATTTTGTCTTTGTCTTCAGGAATGCTCACTTGAGTATCCGACTATGGAAATGGATATGGTTAAAGCAGGAAACTGAGTCAATGTTATGGGTATGGGAATCGCTATTCCACTCAACATGATCATGGTATGATCTGACCTTGTATTCACACCTTTCATTTCGGTATACTGAGCTTAAGCTGGATATAATGAGGACAACAATACTGTTCACAAGAGGTAGGTATGATGCTAACACAAATCACATCTCCAGCTGATGAACAGACCTATCTTTGAACTGGTAATTTTTTAGTTAAGCCACTACATCAACTTAAGCAACGCCTAAGCAAGGACCAATCAAGGTAAACAAAATGTGGCAGATAAAGGCCATATCCTCACTTCTTATCCTTAAATAAAACCAAACACAAAAGCTCCAGTTTTGTGTAGAAACAATTCAAAAGTGCTTTTTTTTGGTCAGAGAAGCACTGGATGGACTCCATTCCTTTATACTACAAAAACGTGCATCACCTCATCAGAGCTGTAGACACAGAAGTAAGAACAGCCTGTAGCTATAGAAAGTACAACGCAGCGGATACTGACCATTCTCAAGTACAGTAATCACTTTATTCTAACAAAGTGAAGGTACCATATTTTGCTAGCAATGAGAGCAACTTTCCCAGCCTCCAATGCTTACCTTTAGAAAGCCAGACAACAGCCAACAATGAAGGATACGAAGAGTCCTTTTACAGTGTTTTATGAGATTTGTGAATAACATCAGTCTAATCAAGAACATGAGTCCCATTATCCCACAAGACAGGGAAACATTCATATTTATATTACATATAGTATGAATATATTTGTATTTGTAAATATACAAAGGAAAATATCTTTGCTGTATTTTTCTGCAATGTTTTCTGTAATACCAGGAAATGCCATATATTTTAAATTAAACAATGTAATCAATATGGCTTAATACAGAAGATAGCACTCTAAATTAAAGTCCCAGCATGTGATTTCATTTATCGGCATAACAACACAGAACTCCCTCCAATACCTGTGGAATCATGGGAGCTGAATAAACTGGATTCCATCCATTCCAGCTCTGCCAATGCAAGATTTATTGCCTGCAGTACTATTTTAAGTGTTTATATTGCTTGCCTTTATCGAGCCATTTCTCAGCAATCCATTGCTGAATTTAAATAAGAACAAAATGATTTGTAAAGTCTATTTTTTCCCATTTGGCTTCCCCACGTAGCATGACCTGCTGTGTACTTACAGCCTTAGCTCTCTTTGCTTATGAGCATGTATCAATCCTGTGAAATGGGAGAAGCTGCACAGGAGAAGGGTTATGTGGAAAAGCATCCACAGGTCTTTAAATGTAACCGACTAAAAATTCTTTGTTAAGTGTTTATTCTTCACAAGATTTTCCTCCTACATACTTCAGGCCCAGGAGGCACACGAGAGCATGCCTAACTTCCTGTTAACTGCTCTAAGAACTTGATTTTGGTCTCATACAAATTCAGTGCAAAAATCATCCAGCTCTTCAACAGTGCAGATCTGTGGCACTGAAATCAGGGTTACTATTGTCTACATTCGATAGCGTAACATTGGTTAATTACTGTTAAAAAAGAATTATTTTCATCCATTTGCAAAATACGAGGCCAAATTTTGCTCTAATGTCAATCTGCTCTGAATGCTTCTGATGTGAGCTCAGTTCTTTTAAACTTGCTCTAGACTATCCCATGAACGCTCCTTCTAGGACAGTTTGTTTAAAACCCATTGCCAAAATCCTCACTGGGAAAAGAACTCTTATAAATAAACTTGAAGTCCAGATACCGTGTCTCACATTGTCGACAGACACACACAATATGCACACATTATTTAGGTACAGAATAAATGTATAACCTCTCCCCCAGCCCCCAATTTATTTTTAGCTCTCCAAAAGTGCTGTGGCTAAAGAGCTTTGACATAATCAGTCCGAGGAGATAATCCCAGATTTAATGGTTTGCAGAACATTCTTGTATTAGAAATACATCCTCTCCGATTCACATCTGAGGGCCAGCTATAAAAAGTGAACTCAAATCTATCTCTAGGTTTTGGTTAATCGATAAAACTGAATATTGAAGGAATATTTGGACAGCCAGCACTACAAATCCTAGATGTAAAATGTTTTCCATTTGCAAAGGTTCCTGTTCAAAAGATTAATTTCACATTTTCAGGGCAATTAACAATAATTAAAGATTTTTAGGTTTTCAAACAAGTCATTGCTATCGGAGGGCAGCCAAATTTATTGTCAGAAAACAGAAGCATCTGATCTGGAAATATGTCAGTAGCTTATTCCATCTTTTTAACATTAGCAAATTGCAGGAGAAATTTTAGAGCTTGGAAAAACAAAACATCAGAACACAATTTTTTTTTGGCAAAGAAATGCTAGTGAATTACTTAAAATACCATTATAATTAACCTCCTTCTGATTCTTACTTCTTTGCAAGGAAAATGCTTTCTTTTAAAATGAGAACCTCAATCTTTTAAGAAAAGATAAATTCAAAGCAAAACTAATGGAAAAAACGCCTGTACCTTTGTTAGCTTTGAGCATCATCAAAATGTGCTTTTTACTAGGGCCAGACTCTGGAGCCTAACAGGGATTCACATCTTGCAGACAATACAATTGCTGTAGGTCACTGCACAGGATGCCGAGCTACAAAGCAATCATGCAATATCTGAAGTTGGGTTTTTTCCCCCCTTTGACATGGGCTGACATTCATAACACCCGGATGAATTTTTCCAGTTCACCAGGGTTACTTTGCGTTACAAGGAGCAATCTCGTGCAAGACCCATTTGCTTGACACCTGTTCAGGAGACAAAATGCAGACTTAAACAATTAATCAGTAAAACTCTCATACTATGAAGGGACCGGTACTCATTAGAGACCAGGCAGGATTTAGTTGCATCTGAACCTAGAAAGCCCAATTCTGGCCTCGTATGAACCCTTTGCTTCTCTACCAACTTGAGCTGTATTGATGATGAAAGTGAAAGCAGGACTCTGCTCATATGAAATAACACAAACTCCAAGGTAGCTATTTTCCTCCCTAAATGAACATACCCCATAACCTAAATGCACAGTAGTAATTTTGCTATACTTTTCATCTTTCTTATCTTACTTTCATATTTCCCAAACTTCATTATCCTTTAGAATGCAGTAATGCTCAGCTAGAGTATTGATGCTTGATGGAGGCTTTACTGATCTATGCTCATCTGAAAACCCTTGCAAAGCCATTGTCACAGTGCCATACTGCTGACAGCTCTGAAAGCTTTACCCTTAGAGCTTTCACTGTTGTTACTGAAATAATCATTAAATAAATGTAGCAAATAACACTGCTAGATGCAGATGTAATGGGTTGGAAGGGGACGTGCTCTATACTTTCCAGAAATGTACTCCATATTTTTAGTTTTTATACACTTATCCCAGTGGGAAATTCTGAAGTTACTGTGACAGGAGTATATCCCATCTGCTAGAGGATAGCAATACGGGAGATTATGTGTTCCTTTGTTACACACTCATATGCAGGCCCCCATAAAGTGGTGGTTTGGAGGCTAATGAGAGCCAGAGCAACAGGAAAACAAAGAACAATGCCACTGAATGAAGATCCTGAAACCTAATCCTTCATCTAGAGGTTATATCATCTTCCTTGCTTGCTCTTGCACAGAATCTCCCTGTGTAGCTGCTTGCTGGACTACACACAGCTTTGCAAGATTTGTTTTAATTACTGCCTTTGTCTTTGGTTGCTGGGGCTTTCTGTTTCTGTTCCCTTTGAGCCTGGAACAGCCTTTTGCTTTGCAAAGATCCTTTTCTTCTCTTTAAAACTCACTGTCCCAAATTTTGCACCTTTGGGAAAGTAC